TAGGATTCATGCAACACACATACAGACCGAAGAAGAGTTGCTTCAAGGTCTGTCTCCATGAGTCCCTTGTCCCTTAACACGAACAGCAGTGAACCCCATCAAGCCAGGTGGAGTGGCAGCTGCCTGTAACCCTAGTACCTAGACTTTAAGTGAGATCCTGCTTCAGAAACAACAACAACAAAGTCTTAAGTGTTAGGTGTGGTGGCACACACCTTTAATCCACGCAGTCAGGAGGCAGAGGCAGGGTTACTGCGAGTTTGAGGGCAGCTAGTCTAACATATTGGGACCCTGTCTTAAAATACCAGGAAAAAAAAAAAGTGGTGTGTATGAGCATACCAAACCAAACCAGGAGGAAAAAAAATAATCAAAGCCAGCTATAGGGTGGATATATATATATAATTTGCCTGGCCACACTTCTGTGGCTTGGACCACAGTGTGGTTTGTGAAGGACAGGTGACATACAGCAGGCCTCAGAAGTCCCTGCTATAGATGAATAATGTGTGATCAGCCCGCTGGGCCCACCTTTATGGGTAGCTGTACTTCTCAGCTGACTTACAGCCTGGGACAGCACTTTCTCGGGCTCTCTCTCTGTCTCCTTTCTCCTTCTTCCTCTCCCCTCCTCTCTCAGACCCATCTCACTAAATGGGCCTGGATCCCTGGAATTCGCTATGTACACCAGCCTGGCCTCACCGATAGCTGTTCCTGCCTCGCTGTACCACCCACACCAGGCTGGTCTCTCGGGATCTCTTCTGCCGAGCTGTGGGCTTGCAGGATCCCCAGGTCCCTCCAGATTGAAAGAGAAAGAAGACATTTCAAGGAGGGAGAGGGGTAAGGACATCCAGGACAGCGTGGGAACGGGTGGGAACAGTTTATTTGAGGCACTAGAATAGCAGCAGGAAGCCGGTGTGGGCAGAGAGGGAGGCAGGGACTCAACGGGATGCAGCAGTGGGAACCTTCATTGGGAGGAGTGGCAGGCAGTCCTCCATGGGCAGCTTCCTGAATCGAGTACAACATGGGCACAGTCATGCCAGGGGAAGGAGTTTGGGTGGAGACAGAGGCCTTCCACTCTAGAATCTTCCAGGTCCCCTTTGCCCATCCCAGATTCCAAGTGGCTTCATTCACATACAGACACACTGAGCACACAGGTGTGTACATTCGTTTGGTTAGACATCCTTGTGAGTGTGTCCACAAGACTGAGGCCTGACCTGGATACTCTGAGACTCCAAGGAAGATTTTCACCCCTTTCCTGGTTCCCCCAAGGGTGGTCACAGGATGGGCTCTGGACACAAGGGTAGCTAGTCCCATTTCAACAGAGCAGATGTGGTGTTGGATTTGGTGCTTCGCCCTGATGCTGAGAGTGTAGAGGGGGACTAGACACACCCAGGAGGAGCTGAAGGCTCCTAGAGTCCCCTGGGACCTAAAAGGGGCTGTGCTTTTCTTCCTGAGCTGGGGGGGAAGTATGGGGAAACACATGGGGATGGTCAGGGATCCAGCTGCAGAAGAGCCAGCAAGCTGAGCAGGAGTCCCAGGCCCAGCAGGGGGATACTGGCGCGAAGTCCGAGGCCAGCTGTGCTGATATTGCAGAAGGAGTGTTGGCAGCAGTAACTATTTACAGATGCCACCCCTAAGTTGACATTGATGTTCTCACGAGGGCAGATTTCGGAGCAGCCCTTGTTCAGGGTGTAGCCAAGGTTGACATTCCCTGCATGGAAAGTGAGATTGAGGGGGCAGCCGTCTGGGTACCAGGAGATGGGGGACAGCCCCGTGGATCCCCGGGTCCAGGCCAGGGAGACGGCTAGTTACTCACCGAAGCCAGCCGAAGCAGATAACGTGACGCAGTAATTGTCTCTGCTCGAGCATGTCGTTGGCCACAGGCATTTCAGATTGCTCTTCTGATCGGTGCAGGAGAAGCATATCAGAGAATGGGCTGCAAAAGGGACATGTTGTAGGTGACACCTGCTTGCTCCCTGGGGAAGCCGTCCAGGGAAGGGTACCATCCCAGTGGGTCGGGGGTGCGGGGCTGGGCTTGATACCCAACGCTTTGCGGACAATGAGCAACAACAGCATGCTCGGCCCTGGGCCAGAGACAAAACCAAGATGGCAAGTTACAGTAAGTAGACTTTGGTCACAGAGGGGCTAAAGTGTCTCCTTAAGCACAAGGCGACAACAGTGTAGCTGGGCCAGCACGGAGGCAAGGGGAACAACGTCACTTTGCTAGGGAGTGGGAGGCAGGAAGGCCAAGAAGTTCACAGGAGAGCTGAGAACGGACGTCAGGGAGGAAGGGCCAGGCTGCCTCTGGGGTCTCAGCACTCATTCCGTACCTTGTTCCACACCCAAAAGGGCTGCCAGGAGTACAGGCAGGAAGACCCTCATGCTGGAAGTGGCAGACATCTGCTGAGGGCTCACAAGCCACAGAAGCCTGCTGTGAGAGAGAGGCAGCCGGTTAAGAGATGGGCTACCCACCCACAAACCAGGATCCCGGCTTAGACACTCCACACACCCCCCAGCGAGCCACACGTCCCCTTGGTAGATAGTTCCAGCATTCCAGGCCCTGGGGAGGGCAGGAAAGCAGTATTAACACCCTGCTGCCCCGAGGCTAGCCATTGAGACAACCTGACTTAAGACCCAATTCCTTATCTCGTGGCTTTCTGGCCCCTGCACCATCAGAAGAGCAATTTGTACAGCCTAAAGCCAGCCATGCGCTACAGCCACACTTACGTAAGCCATGCATTACAAGACAGCCCCTCTTCCTCCTGAAACCTGTAGGAGCCAGGATTTTCCTTTGCCCCACGGGGCTGCTAATCAAATCTTTACCTCCGTACACCTGCCCCCCTCCCGCTGCTACTGTGGCCAATCATTAAAAGAGCTTTTTATCTGACATCCCTTTTGGCACCCGCAGAATCTCAACCCAAATTCATCTAGTGGCACCTTCCAGTTAACACCCCTTTCCAAACTTGGGGGCACCCAAGGCCAAGTAAGGGGAACCAAGGGCTCTCCTAATGCCATGGAAGGGGTGGGGCTTAGGGGGTGGACCCGAGGCTAGGGCAGTGGTCTGTTAAATGAGCAAACATGAACCCCAAATCTTCGCTGGGCCCTGTGGAACAAATCAGGCCACCCTGGAGAGGGCTGAGGGCTTCTGGACTTCATCATTCCCTCCTGTACTAGGTGGGGGCTCAGGACCCGTTTCCTGAAGAAGACAACTCCATTCCTCCACCTGTGTCTGGGAAGGGCAACAAGAGGTTATGTACAGCAGTCAGCACCCCGGACAGCCAGGTGGGCCATGGGGCTTCTCTTGGGCCCTGGGAAGGAGTCTGTGGCACAGGGTAGAGAAAGTTGGCGAAAGGACCAGCTTGCAGGGTTTCAATGTCCTATTTTTGAGTACCACTGGCCTCCCGGGGAGGGAGTACACTGATGCCATCTGTTGAGTGGGAGAGGGACATTCCAGAGACTGAAAGGGATAGGGGGTGGCTTACAGATTTGGGGCGGTCCTCTTAGACAAAGAAAGGGGGTGCAGTGGGAGATGAAGTTGTGGCGTCTTCCAGGGGACACCCTGGCCCTAGGCCTCTCCTGTCCTGAGCCTTGCTAACATCTTATAGTGGGTCGCAAAAACCCCAGATGGCCAAGTTCAGTGCCAAGCCCAGCTGGGCCTGTTCTCGATTCCAGGCGGTACACACAGGAAGAAAGGAGTCTGTCTCCTGTCTTTTCTATACACAGTGAGGCTGTGAAGCGAAGGAGCCCGGAGCTGCCTGCTAGGAAACTCTGGCATGCACAGCCACAAAACACGATGCAACCCATCGTCCCCCGGAGGACACACAGCGCGACCAGAAGGGCTGAGGGAAGTTACCGGGGGAGGTGGCTGGAAACCAGTTCAGTGCGATGAGTCTGTGATGAGTCTGTCCACAGCTACCGTCTGCAGGCTACTGGGCAGGGCCTCTCTGGGGCCCGGGAACTCCTCCTCAAACCCACAGGGATCACCTGTGAAAGCCAGGTGTCTAGTGCCGGCAGAGGAAGAAGCCTGTTTAGGTCAACGGAGCTAGCCAGGGACTAGGCACCACCTCGGGAACCTCAGCACCGGCATGCAAAATCCTGGACAAAGACAAAGAGCTCCCTCCCGCTCCTCACTCTGGTGAGGGTCCTGCCTCTCGCAACCAATCCACCTTGTCGGAGGGCCCGGCAACTCCTGCTCTAGTTTACAAGGGTGTATCCCTGGAGATCCCAAGCAGACACACCAGCGTTCATGGAACTGAGAAAGGGGCACCGAGTGAGGGCTGAGCAGGGGCCTTTGCCCTTTTCTGCTCCAGATCTCCAGAAACATTCCGGGAAGACTGGGGGGATGGGAGGAATGGAGCACACTGCAGGGGGCCTCGAAGGCTCCAACCACTCCGCACACGGGCTCCGAGTGCCCAGACCCCAGACGCTGCGGCCAAGGCCGCCAGCTCTCTCCCAGCGCATCCGCGCTGGGGCCCGGTGAAGCCGGGCCCCGCGGACTTACCTCCGGGGCGAAGCGGTGCCACGAAAAGCTCCAGAAACCTCAGGTCCTGGAGATCGCCACAGTCTGGAGATTCCCAGGCAGGCGGACCAGGGCGCCGATGGCGGGGGCGGGGGCGGGCGGCGGGCGGGGCGTTCCACGGGCTGTGGGCGGGTCTCTGGTGGGTGGGAAGGACAACCCGGGATACCCGACTCTGCGTCCTGCGGCTGCGCCCTGGCCTAGCAGTACAGCCACTCTTCTGAGGTTTGGATCCGGATCCCGACCCATGCGCCCATGGCTGCGGCCCCCGGGTCCCCGGTGGCACCCAGAAGTCGGGCGGAGACCTCCCAAAGTGCCCCATGCCGCACAATGTAGCGTGTGAGCGCTGGCGTGGCTTTCCACCTGGCCTGCGGTGCCTTCTCTTGCAGGACAGACCCGGGGAGGGTGGAAGGGTCGGGTCTTTGCGGCAATTACTGATACTAGGACCTGGGCTCAGGCTCTGCTTGCTTCCGGGAAGAGTGAGAGGACAGACTGCATCCCGAAGCCTTGGGCGCTCATGGGAATCTCTGCTGCGGCAGGGGCTGAGGAAGTGCTGGAGCGAGGATGCAGCATCTCAGGCCTGCTGGTTGTCGGGTCCCTCCGGGCGGAGCCTGTCCTGGCCATCTCTCTCTTGGGGTGAGACAGGACAGGGCTTCGGGGAAGGAGGCCACTGCGACACTGGTTTGGACAGATCTGGTTCTCCTTCTCCTTCCTCTGGGTACAGGGCTGCCTCTTACACTCCACTAGGTGGCTATGGAACAAAGGCTCCAGAACCCAGTCAACCTGTCTTGGCTCTCATCTAAAGTGCTGGGGCCCCAGTTTTTGGAGGGAAATCCCCACCCCTTCTGTTTTTACCTAAGCATCTTCCAATATTCTATTCATAGTGCTCAGGAAGCGCCTTCGCACCCAACAAATATTAACGACCGCTTGCTGAGTGTGGGACCCTGGGGTCCATGTCCTGCTTCCGGATGATACTTCCGGGGCAGACCAGGGCACCAAGAGTGGGCTTAGGCAGCAGGTCCCTTTGCCTGGCAGAGCAGTTTGTCTGTTCCCCTTGGCTCCTTCTTACCTTCCTCCTCCAGGGCCCTCCCCAGGGGATTGTGGGCTGCTGTGTCGCTGCCACCTGCTTTTCTGAGGGTCACACTTCTATTTTGATCACACGTGTGGAAATAAGGGCTTTGCACCTGATCCTCCGCACAGTCTGAGGAGTTGACGGTGGTGACAGTGGCTGGGCCCTAGGAATGAGCGTCACAGGATTGGGGGAAGGGCAGAGGAGGGGCGGGGCGAGAGAGAGAAAAAGCTGTGAAGCTGGGTGGTCGATTGGCCAGGGTGTGGCCAAGAAGCCCTGCAACAGAAAGCCAGCTGTTGGGGGGTGAGGGGGGGGGCCCAGGAGCATAGTCAGTGTGTCTGTCGAGTGATGTGAACACAGTATGTCCTCAAAGTGCTCCTTCGTGATGCCCCCCTCCCGGATCATCCAGCGCATCAAAGGGAGGTGGGGGGCACACCTGCTCCTGGTGCTCATTTCCCAGGAGCTGAAGGTGAGACTCAGTGTGTGTCCTCCGATGGCCAGGCTGCAGCATGGTGACATTTGGTGATTGGGGAATCCACAGTCTGGGGTGATGTCCTAGCTGTCCTCAGGACAGAAACCATCCAGAAGACAATGGCCAGGCTGTTGCTCAGAGTTTGGGTCCTTGGTTTTCTGTCCCCTCCTTGGTCTCACCTGGGGGCAGGACAGGTCTGAGGAGCCCGGGATGGAAGTGTCTTCCTCATGTTTAGAACATCATTTTTTTCATACTTCCTCTTGGGCTGCTCCAGTGATGTGAATCCCCGCCAGAATATCACTACTGAAGGATTGAGAGCAGAGGACTTCATCTCCTGTCCAGTACTACTTGTAGCTCAGGGCAGGGTCTCAGTGAGTGTGTAAGGAGTCATGCATGGTTTATCAGGACAGGCCCTCCTTTGCAAAGACCTGCAAGACAAGTTGCAGTATGCGGGGCCTTCATGATTATGGATATCCTAAGGTCTCTGCCAAGGCTCAGCCATTAGGCCTAGACTCCTTGGAAGCACTGTCTAGAAGATCCTGGCTGTGCAGTGAGCTGGGGCTTGCCAATGCTGTGGTCCACAGGGTTGCGGGAGTCTGGATGGCTCCCTTAATGCTGTGCAGTCGAGGAGAGACTGAGTTCTCGAGAATAGCTTATAGGAGTTATGATTGGGGTCCATGTCCCCAAGGAGGACAATGATCTCAGGAATGATGCCAGGAGTTTCTACATCAGGCTGACTTCACGTGCTGAACTTCTTTTGGTCTGTCCTTGAATCCCTTACTTCGGTCAGTCCACTGGTGACACCACGTGAATGGGCCAGGTGGTGTCTGGCCTTTCACAGATCTGGGATCCCATTCCCCTGGTGGCTCAGCTCTTCCTGTCCACTCATTCACCCCAAGGCGGTCCAGCATCACATGGGAGAGGCTTTTCGCCGTCACCCTGTGGCGTCTGTAACACCCAGATCATGGATTTTACACTAGTCGGTGTCTTCTGATTGACTTTATCTCATGTGTCCTCAGTCCAGACTGCACAGACATTGTGACTAGGACATTCAGACTCCTAGTGCAGCTTGAACAGCTGCCCCCTGCAGACATCCCATCCCCTACCATTTTCTCTTCCTGAACAGAAGCTCCCATAACCACCCTTCAGATGCTGTTGGGAAGCAGTCCCGAATCCATCCACCATGGTGGTGTCTGTCTCCTTGGGCCTGAAACATCTACCCTCTTAAAGCAGTGGTAACAGAAACTAATTTAAAAAACAAACAAAAAACCCCAAAACAAACAGGATCTGATGTAGCCCAGAGTGGTCTTGAACTCACTGAGTAGTGAGGATGAACTTCTAATCCCCCTGCCTCTACTTCTGAGTACGAATTACTGGTGTGTGCTACCTTACCAGGTTTATGAGTGCTGGGGATCAAACCTAGGGCTTCGTGCATCCTAAGCAAATGGCTGTGCTAACTGAGTCACATCTCCAGTCTCTATTATGCTAATCTTTCTGGTTGCTCAACATGGGCTGACAGTGACCATCCACGGTGTGACTTAGGCTTATGCCAATGGCATTGTCATGGGCGGGAGTTTTGTGGCCACTGAGACTGTCCTACTCTGGTGGGATTCTAGCTGTGTTTTCTGTAATGTTGAGGATTGCTTATATTGAACTTTCTGCCCTCTCTCTGGGTAGAGAAACACCCACTTCAGCAGTCCCTGGGGACTTGCAGGGACAAGGTGTTGGTTAAGCGGCAGATGTTGCGGTGGCGGAAGAATCACAAGCCATGGTTACCTTTCTACAGCTTTATTGGGAGAGAAAGGGAGAGAGAGAGACCGGGAGGAGGAGGGAGAGTACGGAAGGAGAGAGAGTGGAAAAGAGAGAGGGCACAGAGGGCATGCTCACTTTTTAGGCTGGGACGCTTTTGCAGGCTGGTGACATAATTAAGGACATAATCCTTACACAGGGGCAGTATGTCTTCAAGCTCAAGTGGACAGGATGATCCGTCTTAGAATAAGGGGTGTTTTTCTACTTTGGAGTAGTGGGCTGTCACCCTCCATCATGCACTGCAGCAGTCGGCAGTCCTTTCTGTCTGGGCAGCTCCTGTTAGGGTGCGGTAGTTTGAATAAGAATGCCGGGTGGTCATAGAACCATGGAGGCTATATATATATATATATATATATATATATATATATATCATGGAGGTCCCTAGGACGACTGTGGCTTATAATAAATTTCGGTTTTACTCAATTATTGAAAAAAAAAAAAAAGCCAAATGAATGGAAACACATGAACTATGAACCACAGCTGGATCAGGCCCTCTGAATAAGGTGCGACAGTTGATTGGCTTGATCAGTTTGGGAGGCAACTAGGCAGTGTGACCAAGTCCTGTGCTCATTGCATGAGTTGGCTGTTTGAAACCTGGAGCTTATGCAGGGACACTAGGCTCAGGCTGGGAGGAAGGGACTGGACTTGCCTGGACTGAGTCTACCAGGTTGATCGCAGTCCTTGGGGGAGGATTTGCCCTGGAGGAGGTGGGAATGGGGGGTGGGCTGGGGGTAAGGAGAGGGGGTGGGAGGGGGAGAATAGGGGAACCCGTGGCTGATATGTAGAACTGAATGGTATTGTAAAATAAAATAAATAAAATTAAAAAAAAAAAAAGAATGCCAGGTGGTGGTAGCACATGCCTTTGATCCCAGCACTCGGGAGCCAGAGGCAGGCAGATCTCTGTGAGTTCAAGGCCAGCCTGGTCTATAGAGTGAGTTCCAGAACAGCCAACGAGGACTGTTACACAAAGAAACCCTGTCCAAAAAAGAAAAAAAAAAGCCCCCCTCTCCATAGGCTTATGTATTTGAATGCTTAGTTATCAGGGAATAGTACTACTTGAGAAGGATTAGGGGGTGTGACCTTATTGAAGGAAGTGTATCAATGGGAGTGGGGGGCTGGGCCTTGAGGTATCAAAAGCCCAAGCCAGGCCCAGTGTCACTCTCTTCCTGCTGCCTGTGGATCCAGATGCAGAACTCTCAGCTACCTCTCCAGTACGTGTCTCCCTGCATGCTGCCATGCAACCCACTGTGATGATAATGGACTAAAGCTCTGAAACTGTAAGCCAGCTCCAATTCAATGCTTCACCTTAGAAGAGTTGCCGTGGTCATGGTGTCTCTTCACAGCAACAGAACATTGACTAAGACAGGATATAACCAGTGCCTGGATATATTCTTCCTCTCAAGTCGCTTGACTTTCCTGGATAGAATGTAGCCTCATGAGGATGGCTGAAAGTTGGCCAGCCCCCACCCCCCCATCTGCAGATCATGGCGGGCTCTGGTCCTAGCCCTGAGTTGGTGTCTGACTCAGCCTTAGTCAGCCCTCAGCCTGCTTTGTCAGTTTGGTCCACAGGCTGCCTTGCTGAATTTGCATGCAGCCCAGGTGTCGGGGACCAGCCCCTGACTAGCCCTGGCCAACTGTCGGGGACCAGCCCCAATCTGTCAAAGGGTTCTTGGAGGGAGGAGTGAGGAATTGAGAAATAATAAGAAGAAATATAGACATAGATGAAGAGAAAGATAGAGAGACACAGGATAGCTTCAGGAGGGCCCCGGGTCAATACCCAGTCGCCTCGAGTTTATTCATGATGGGCTTTTTATACATCAGCAAGGGGAGGGGCAAAAGACCTCCCTTCCAAGGTCGAGGTATAAAATACCAATAAGTGTAGACCCTTCAAAACACCTGGTAACCACACCTTGGCCAAATCATCCTATTATGCAGCCCTGCTGGGTAAAGCAAGCTCAGGCTTTCTGACCTTGAGTAAGGCCTTACTAGGAAGCCTCTGTGGGCCCCCACACCCACAACAGGGTTGGTGGGATCAGAGAGTCCCTAGGTCCCTTCCACAGTTGGAGGAGGCTGGATTGACTCCCTGCCCCTAGAGTGGAGGGACTCTTGTCTGCAGTCTGCTAAGCTTGCTTCTGGGGTTTTCCTGAGCAAGACTGGGGCTGGTCTGTCCCTCATGACCAGTAGCTTGAAGAGTAAAGAACCTGAGTAATTTTCCCAGCTATGGGAGGACAAGTGATCTCATAGGCCAATCTTATCACCTGAGTTCCCTAAAAGACTATTAATGAATAGCCATATAACAAGATTTCACAAAGTCATCAGATCATTGTACAGAACCCAGAGTCGTCCAACCCAAAGGCTAAGAATATTATCAGTCAGTATCTGAGGCCTATAGTAGAGATTTCCCCCATTTGCTATGGCCCGCCTACCTGATGTTTCCACTGGTATATTTGATAAGTGTTTTGTGACTTTGTTTATCGGTCACTATAAAATAAAAAAGCTCATCAAACTGTTGCCACATCAGAACATGAAATTTGAAGTAACCTAAATCTGTGTTCCTGGACCATGCTCGTTTATATTGACTTCAGAATAAACTATCTTCGCTTACAAAAAAGAACCCCTCTTGAGTGAAAGAGACCATGATCAGAAAAGGTTCAGAAGTCTGGTTAGGGCCTAGAGATGTAGCTCGGTTGGCAGAGTACTTGCAGCTCGGTCAGTGGAGTACTTGCCTAGCAAGCAGAAAGTCCTGGGTTCATTCTTCCCCAGCTCCACAGAACCAGGAGCAGGTGGTGCATGTCTGTAATCCAAACATTTGGGAGGCAGAAGCATGAGGTCAGGAGTTCAAGGTCATCCTCAGTGTCAAGGTCAAACTGGGATAGGAGAGACCTGTCTTTAAAAAAAGGGGGGATGCTATTAAGAGCCTGAGCAGCTTGTGAGAAGACACTATATGAAAATGTAGGGACACCGGACCCCGTCCCCTGTTTTGGAATAGCAGTACTTATCTGCTCTTAATAGGAAGCTTTCGGGGCTTTCTGTTCACTTTGTGGCTTTATTGTCCTGTTTGTGTGGTTTTTGTTGTTGCTTTGCTTTATTTTCTTCTTTCTGTCTAGAACAGGATGTATCCACTGCTTTTCGTTTGCAGAGATAAAACACCAGGACCCAAAGCAAATGCATGGAAGAGTTTAGTTGGGGTCAGGGTTCCTAGAGGGATAAGGGTCCATCATGGCGGGGAAGGCAGCAGGAACAGGGAGCTGAGAGAGCACCTCTTCCAGAGCAAGTGTGAAGCCAAGAGGGCGAGCTGAAGGTGGAGGGAAGCCAAGAACTCTCATAGTTTGTCCCTAGTGATGTACTACTTCCTCAAGCAAGGTTCTTCTTCCTATATAACCTCCCCAAACAGCGCCATCAACCCAAGTATTCAAGTACAGGAGCCTGTGAGGGACATTTCTCTTTCAAACCACCACACAGGGTCTCACTCTCAATAGTCCAGCCTGGCTTTCGAACTGTTGGCAATTCTCCTGCCTCAACCTACTGGCATTACAGACTTGAGCCACCACCATACCAGCTGCTGCTGTGAACAATTTAAGATTTTGCTATGCTTGATAAAGTCTAAAAAAAAATTTTTTTTTTTTATTTTGTCAAGAATTAGCTAGAATGTACAGAGGCCCCTGATGACTTTTCTCTGGGCTTGGTTTAACCACGAGCATCATGAAGTTGAGTGGCTGTGGTGACCTACAGGAGGCTGTAGCTGCTGACATGGCGACAAAACAGAACTATACAGCAGAGAGCTGGGTCACAGTAATTATTCGGCTATCACTATTTCTTGGAGAAGGGAGGGAGGGTCACTGGACATTCCTAGGACCCTCCCTTGAGATTCTAATTAGCAGTTCCTCCTGCTGAATGAAGGTGCATGGACTCCTAGGGATGCTTGAAGTGTGTAATAGATGAGAAAACTGGCCGGGCGGTGGTGGCGCACGCCTTTAATCCCAGCACTTGGGAGGCAGAGGCAGGCGGATCTCTGTGAGTTTGAGGCCAGCCTGGTCTCCAAAGCGAGTTCTAGGAAAGGTGCAAAGCTACACAGAGAAACCCTGTCTCGGGGAAAAAAAAATCTTAACAAAAACAAAAACATGCAATAGATGAGAAACTGGCTGGGTTTGGTCCCAAGAAACTCAGTCATTCATCAGGCTGGACCTGAGGCATCTTTCCTCTATCGGCCCCTCCCTATTTTGGCTGACTACACTTATCTTCTATATCTCCCCAGGAGAATTACAAGTCATGAGACGCTAGCTTATGTCAAGATGATAAACAGCTAACCCGCACAACCGACCCCTTGTCAACCTGACATAAGAACAGGGTCACCATAAACCTTTTCTTCTTGTTTCTCATGTTAATATTAACTGACAAGTTCTCAAGTTAGTATCATAATATAAAACGTAGTACAGCTTTAAAAGTCCCACGGTCTTTAAAAAATTCAACACTTTAAAGAGACCAAGGTCTCTCTTCAAAGTTACTGTGGATTTTTGTACAAACAAAACAAGTTGAATAGTTTTTCCACTCCAAGAGGGAAGAGCCAGGGGATGGGTAGTCCCAGCAAGTAAAAGCAGAACCAGACTTCCGTGTCACGTGTCTGGGACTCACCCGTGCTCTTCTGAGCTCCAAGGGACCTGAGCTGTCCTACTTCTCTGGCTTTGCCAAGAACGACCTCCCGTTCTTGGTGGTGACCGCCAGTAAGCTATGGTCTCCACCATGACTTAGACTGTACCCTCACCAGTGACCTCTTGACCTCTTGACAGGAACTCTAACCTGTTCCATGAGGTCAAGGCTCAGCTTTTCTCCGTGACCCCTCGGTTCTCGGGTTAACACTGACTGTTACTGGGGCTGCACTCTCGCCAGTGGCCTCTCCTGGCCTCTCACAGGGCCACGCCTCCATGGCCCCTTCATGACTTCACCCCCATGTGTGGGTCTCTCACATACGACCAACATCTGCTTGCAGCCAGATGTGCAGCCTTGGCCCCGAGCCCCCGCACTGGGTCACAGCTTCTGTGTGCTGACCCCGAGGAAGTACTCAGAGAAGATTTAGCCTGGGTGATGCTAGTTTCTTATTAACAAAGCTGATTTTTCTTTTCAGTCCCAGCTGACCGGAAACTATGGATTTGTCACTTAAATGCATTACCCGAATGGTCCTGCTGGAGTCTCTGCTCTTCATCTTCACGATCCAGGCCTCCACTGTCTACACTGCTGTCAGCTCTCCTGTCTTCTACACTCCCATCATGCTTTGAGCACTGACTGGCTTTTCCGGTCCAAAGATCTAGATACTTCCACAATCCACCCCAAGGCGACACTGTCGGGTCTGTCTCAACAAGATCACACTCGCAGTACCAACTTCAGTGCACGTTTGCTTTGTGCTGCTCTGAGGACAAGTCAAAGCCATTGGCCAAAACCAATCGGAGGGGAGGAAAGGGTTTATGCGTGGCTTGCGCCTCCACACTGCAGTTCATCATGAAGGGGAGTCAGGGCAGGAACCCAGGGCAGAAATGGAAACAAATACTACCGGGGAGTTCTGCTTACTTACTTGCTTCCCATGACTTACTCAGTCTGTTTTCTTACACAACCCGGCCTGCTTGCCCAGAGGTAGCATCACACACAGTGGGCTGGGCCCTTCCACATCCATCATTAACTGAGAAAATGCCCTGCAGACTTGCCTCCTGTTAAACCTGAGAATCGTGAGGAGAACAGACCAAATCCACAATTGTACAATTAAAGCAAGCAGTATTTTGGGGTGCACCTGAGACTGGCCACCTGGCTGTCTCATCATAAATTGGGATTTGAGAAAGCCGTTCCGGCTGGCTTCTCTGTGTAGCTTTGGATCCTGTCCTGGATCTCACTCTGTCGACCAGGCTGGCCTCGAACTCACAGAGATCCACTTGCCTCTGCCTCCCAAGTGCTGGGATTAAAAGTGTGCGCCACCACCACCCGGCATCTTGAGGTTCTTTTTACAGGAGAAAGAGTTCACAGGGGCGAGAGAGTCGGCTGTTATATGTTGTTAGTAAAATACAATGATGAAAGGAACAAGGGTCCGAGATATACTTCATGTGAATGGGGTCACGTGGTTTGCAGTGTGCATCAGGTCTAAGAAACGGGAACTCATTCCGCAAGCTACATTGTTCCTGTTTTGGTCTCATACCACAGGCCAATCTGATGGAGGCATTTTCTCAATTGAGGTTCCCTCCTCCTAGCTTATGTCAAGTTGACAAAACAACAACTAACTAGCACATTATTGAAGTCTAAAAGACACACAAATTTAGACCTATATTATATGGACTCATTATTGTTATTGTTATTATATTATTACTTTAGGGCAAGGTATGGAGCTCTGGCTGGCCTGGAACTCGTTATATAGACCAGGCTGGTCTCAGGCTCACAGAGATTTACCTGCCTCGGCTTCCTAAGTGCTGACAGGCCTGGCTAAAGGCATGATTAATACACTTTCCAAAGTGTGGGAGAGTCCTAGAGTTTGGATACGTCTTGGTTATAATTCTAAAGCTGAAGTATTTATGCAATGTGATGATTCCCCTGCAGGCTTTAGGGCAGGCAGGGAAAAACCAATCAGTTCAAGGGAAGACTGAAACTCAGCTCAGCCCGATTTTATTGTAACTGGCACTGGACCAGGACTTCTAGAGTGTGGCCCAGATCATTTTGCATTAGCCATATTTAAGCACAGCACAAGTTTGGGAGAAGTATTTAGATGACAATTAACTCAGCCCTGTGAGTACAAGAAAGCTTAAGACATGCTTACATTGAAGTTCTTTGCAAAGTACCTGTGGCTTCACCCATAAGATGGGTTCTTGTTGACTCAGAAACAGTGCTCAAGCTAAGGGTCTGAGGAGAATGACTGAGGTAGACATGCCTGGCCCTAAGATAACATAGAAGTCACTTAGGCTGTTGTAAAGTACAAATGACATCTCTCACAAGGATGACCTGGAAGTAATGCTCAAGGTTTTAAGAGGAAAGGGTTTGGGATAAGTAAAGCATAAATTTTGGAAGATACAGGCTGAGCCTGGCTCACCAGACAGCAAAGGATCACCTGGTTGCAAACTACATCCGTCCTCAGCATTCCAGGAGGAACACTAGGCACCCCATTCCACTGGAGAGGTAAGCTGTGTGTTCAGTTTCCTGGCTTCTCCAGTGCGTATCCGTCTGCACGAGACCCTTTTTGCCCCTTACAGAGGGACCGGTCACAGGATCTTTCTTTACCTGTGACTCTACTGAGTCTTTTGCTGTCCATAGTTTTGACTCTTCCTATAAGTCAGTTCTGGCAAAATGAAACTTCTTTTATAAACTGATTTGAGATTGTTTGGCTAAAAATTAGAATCGCTTTAGAAAACAGTACGTTTTGCGGCTCAAAGTTAATAGGTTGGGTGTGTTTTGTTCCTGTTGGTTTTGTTTATTTCTGCCCCCCTCCCTCCCCCCACCCCTCGCTCCACACTGGAGCACTGGCCCTGTGCCCTGAGAGGATACCTATTGTCTGTAAAGCTGGTGGAACTGAACACCATTCATCTTCAGATTCTTCCCACAGGGGGCTCCTGGGAACAAAATAAAATGGGAAAAACATCGAAGTAGGAAATACTAAGGAAAGTAAATAAAAGCCAGGTGTGAGATAGCCGGTCTGACCAGATAAAAGAGAGGACAGGACTCACTAATGACGTCTCTGCTTGCTCCTGTGGGTGGCAGTGGGGAGGAAGGTGCATTGACCTGCAGTATTCTCTGCTGCAGCCCAAGGGCCTGCATGCACTAACACTTACTGTTATTTATTAAGTGGCACAATGTTATTCTTTAAGCGGCAATGTTTACCATGTGAGAAAAGCCATGAGGTAGAACAAAGCCCACTGTAAGTTTATTAAGGGAAGGGAACAGAAGGGATGTGTTTAGGCCTAAGGGAAGGATCCTGTAGGAAAAAGGGGCCGAGGGATAAGTGGAACCACTTTTATAGGTTCCTCCAGAACATGCGCATATGGGCTTACATAGCTACACCACATGCGCATAGATTATGTGACAAAGCCCTGGGATGACTAAGCATCTTGCCTGGCTACTGGACAGCTCATGTATAGTCATGTAGCTGGAGAGTGGCTAGGAATTCTAACATTCCAAACTCTTTGCTTTTTATAAAAAATGGTGGGTGAATGGGAATAGGGGCGCTGTGTCTCGTGAAACTGCTTCCAGTTGACTCAGTGGGAGTTGGTTAAGTGTTGGGGGCAGGAAAGGGGGCTTTTGGGGTAGCGAGATGTCCTGAGGTAGTGGATTTGTCCATCGCCTTCTGCTGCTTCGGACTCTGTGACTGTTTGGGTCTGACAAGGTGCTGGGTGAGGCAGAAGGAGTTGAGAAAAAAATTTTACCTTGGGGGATGGTCCCTGAGGGGTCCCAGGGTGAGGGAAGGGGGTCCCGGGACCAGGAAAGTTTGAATTATACTTAATCTAAAGTGGATCTGACCTGTCCAGGTGGATTCAAGCTGGCTCTGGAGCTCAGAAGATTTTTGTAAAGATTTATTTATTTACTATGTATATAGAAGAGGGTGCCAGTTCTCATTATAGGTGGTTGTGAGCCACCATGTGGTTGCTGGGAATTGA